GTCAGATGATGTACACTTATTGAAGTCTCAAGTGATGCATTCCATTCGCTTTCATCTGTGCCGCCTGGACGCACTGATAAGAGAGCGTTTGTTGTAATCGCTTTAAATGCCATTTAGCCCATTCAAATTGCCATCAAAGTGACGCCAACAAGTTGGAATCAGCCCCAGAGAGGTATTATTTGTTAATTTCATTACACCAAAAGCAAAACTCACTTCAATTTACGTACACACACAGAGAGAGAGGGAGAGATACTCACACCAATACACAGGCAAACAACCACAAAGAGCGACGAAATTGCTTATCAAAAACATGGGCAGACCCTGGAAGTTGTGGTTGGGGTTAGAGGTCGGAGTCTTAACCGAAGCTGGTATGAGTGTCAAACACACACACACACACACATAGATGTTGTACATAAATTTGCATGTCTTTATTGCAGCTCAAAGCCAGAGACAAGCAAACAAACAGCGATACCGACACACACACACACACCACACACAAATCACAACATGGGATGCTGGAGTTATGCAACCACTGAAGCTTTCTGTTTGCACACTTATAAAACACCTATGGAGACGATGGAGCTCAACGCCTCCAGTTATTTGAGGTAATGACTTAATTGCCACGCTACTGCTGCTTAGCCCCTTACTTGAGCCACCCCTCGAAGCAGGCCTCTTCAGTTCAGTTTAGCGCAGCCAACGACACATCATCAGGTCTGCCTGCCTCGCTGCCTGGCTGCCTGCTTGCAATTGGGCTCATAATTTGTGCAGGTGTCGAGAGCGCTTTGTCTTTGATTGCGCGACTGGCGCGTCTCTAATCTCTGTCAGCCACAACGCAATCATCAACAGCAACAGCCGGATCTGTATTATCCTTTGCGCCAATACTGGGCCACTTAAAGTACAGCAAACATCTGGCGTGGCAGGAGGAGTCGGCCCGGGACTGTGGCCCCTCGGTTAAATTGAAGCAATTGTGTGGCGTTGATTTGTATAATTTTGTAATTTGTATACCAAAACGTAGCCACACATGTGTATTTGCATTAGCCGTGGAGCAATTCCAGTTTCCCTAGACTGCGACACATATACATATGTATGTATGTATTAATAAATTAACGCATACACATATTGCTATAGCCTATGGGGCATCTAGGGTAGTTACACAAATTACAATGCACCCAGTCAGTAAAAAAAATTGTATGATTTATTCATTTAATTATAAAAAATGGTTCAGCTAAATAGATAAAAAAATATATATAAATAATAATAAAAGCTGCAGCAAAAATTTAAAATAAAAAAAAATAAAAATAAATAATAAAAAATTGTATATTGATTATTTTGTACGTTTAACTTAGAGCTAATATCAAC